GCTCACACAGAAATTCCCCTCCTATCTTCCCTTCCCTGATTCATTTGCTTTATCTCAGCCCCCAATTATAGCAGACATTCCCTGGGTAGCTTGGGTCACTTTAGCCAGTGAAGCAGGTCAGCTAATTTAAGACCTTCGTTTATCTCTCCAATCTTCCAAGACTAATAATCAGGACATGTTCCCAGATTTGTAGCATACAGCATGATGTAATTATCCTCACTGTTTCTGGCTTCTGACTTGAGCAGACATTCTCATCTACATAGGCTGTCTGGATTGGACCCATGTAGGGCGGGACTTCCCCTGGCAGTTGTTTCCTGATATTGGGACAGGTTGTCCTCTGCATTGAATGTTGTCTGCATGCTCCTTAGTTGAGGCATGTAAAATCCAGGAGTCTGCATCTCACTGTCATAGAGAGGCTGGCTAGCTGCTGGACTAGTCATCTGAGGATCCATACAGGGATACTGGATGCCTCTGTAAGCTGATGTCTCATACCAACTGGGGTAATGCTCAACACTCTGGATACTTCCCTGACTGTTACTGCTGTACAGACTCATCTGTCCATAGTGGCTCATCTGGTCTTCATGGTTTGTCCCCTGGTGACCATTAAAAGGCTGATATCCCTCAGGAGTCATCATCAGATCTCTATTTGGTATCATGTTTTCAGCAGGCTGAGGAAAGCAGGGTCCTGGTTGGAAAACACTTGGGGTTATGTCCTGTTCCTCATAGGCTTCAAGTAATTCCTCGAAGAAGTCTGCATTTGCTTGGCCAAGATCCTGTGTTGCTTGTGGAAGTTCCTCAGATGCTTGTGGAAACATGAACATCTTGCTGAAATAGATTTCAGTCTTGAGAGCTAAATGTCCTTGTGGGTATTCAAATACAAGGACTAGACTTCTGCTTGAAGTTTGCCCAAACCAACTGAAAATATCAGCTGGAGGGTAGGGCCCCACAAATTCAAGGGCTTATGACTGTGGAATGGGACAAATGAACTCAGGTCCTGAGCTCTCCAGTCTCCTTTGATAAAGCTTGGCCAGAAGTGGGCAGGTCTTCAGAGACTAGGGTTATGTATGCCTTGCCCTTGAAGGGGTAAGGCCCCACAACTAGAGTTCTTGCTTCAGCTCCTTTACCCAGGCTCTTAGAATTCAGAGTGTGTCCTCTTGACCCAAACTCTCAGGGTGCTTTGCTTGCAGTTTGTTTGTCCTTTATTTGGTGTCTGTTTTCCTCTGGAAAGCATACATGCAATTCCTGTCAAAGAAGACATGTAACATGTAACATGAACTGAGAAATGAGCCAGAGACTAATATCAGGCTTCAAATGTTGAGCTGCATGTCAGAAAAGCCAAGTGGCCGGACAATATCTCTTACCTGTAAGTTCAGGATACAAGATATGAATCAAGCAGAAGCTCTCACAAAGTCTCAAACTGCTTCCTCTTCTCAGAGTGCTTGGAGAGCGTATGCTTTGCTGAGACCTACCTTCTGTCTTATATACTTCCTGGATGATGGGATTAAGGGTGGGACGTATGCTGATCCTGTAGACTGATTGACTCTTGTGTACATCCGGTCGGTCTTGAACACAAAGATGTCTCTACCTGTAAATCCCGCTTCCTAGGTTTAAAGGTGTTTTCCAACTCCTCCATGATGCTAGTAGCTTGGACAGTGGTTTGTGACTGGCTGCTAAGGCTTGTAGCTGACTTTGCTTTTTGTGAATCCTCGGTCAAGCTTTAAAAACCATAAATAATGTATCACTACCTTTGACCCAAATTAACTCTGGACATTCCAATTTCAAAAGTCTAGTTCAAAATGAGTCTTAGCAGCTCAAAGTTACAGAGGTGTAGTAAATCTCCCAATATCAGGAGAAATAAATACCCAGAGACAAATAGTGTAGTTCAAGCTTGAAACTGAAGATCAGAGAACCAAAGCAGGCAAGACAGTAGATCTTTCCTCTACGCAGCTAAAACGATAATACTAAATTCCTAAATGTTCAGTGGTAAAGGCTCTCGCTTCCTGTGTCCTCCTACCATTTGCTCCTTTCTCCAAAGGGCCAAGTAACGCCTGTCTCCAACTCAGTAGTTCTGGGATTAAGGGTTTCTGAGGCCAGATGCTTTGATCGCCTTTGTCTAAGCTGTTTCTTTTAGGACTGGATCAATTACTTGTAGTCACTGTGGACTTGAACTAATGGAGATCTGTCTACCTCTCAATTCTGAGACCTGGATTTAAGAGTGTGTACTATCATTGTTTAGATTCTATAACTAACTGGTGTTGTTGGCTTTGTATCCTTAATCCTCAGGAAAGCTTTGATACCTCCTAAGTAGCATATCACCACACTTGCCAATTTAGTTAATTTAATTAAGCCCAATTCCCTCCAGGTGATCCTAGCACTAGGGAGATTTTAGGAATAGTCTTTTTAAAGATTAAAATGACACCAGATGTACATAATTTGCAAAATGTGGCACAAGTCATACCTCCTTGTATCATCTTTTCTTTCCACGGGAGAAAACTTACACATCACATACATGTCTAAACATGATAGACTCTTCCTCTTATGGCCACAAAGGCATTATCCATTGCGAAGAGCTGACCATGTCACCTGAAATACATTGTTTTAGCATCTCAAAATTGTATATGATAACCATTGAAAAACACTAATTGCCATCACTTAGAGAAATGAAGTTAAGGAAACATCAGTACTTGTTCAATGACATTCCGAACAAAGACAAGTTTTGTTCCCAAGTCTTGAAAATTCCCAAAGATCACAAGGGAGAGAGACCCTCAGAATTACAAAAGCAAGGTTTTATTATTTTATCCACCCATGACATGGATCCCATCCAGTGGGAGTGAAGTTACTGGCCAACTAACAGCTAGGTTGTAAAGACAAATCTCCAAGGTTTCATCAATAGTTAGGGGATGCTTTCTGTTTGGCCGACATTTGGGAACAATTAGTAGAATTTCTCAAAGTCATGATTTTGCAGGAACTTCCAGAGTACACATTCTGTTCACTGGTCTGAGCTGAACGGGAACATTCTGTGATTCCTGTGGCTTTGTCTTCTTACTTTGACTTGGCCACTTGTCCATAGATAACTGTACTTTACAGAACTATATCCTGGAGACGACAGGGGAAGTTTTGTTCTACACTTGATTTTCCTTTTGGCCAATCTGTTGCCAGGAACCAAGTATCTTGGAGGTTAGGGGGAGTCTGGATTTTGAGTTCAGGTTTGGCCCCAGGTTACGGGAGGTCAGACAATATGGAGTTACCTAGTGTTAGTGGTCCACATGTCTTTCCTGTAGTCTATCATGGCTGCCAAACTTGGAATTGAGTGAGGGTGTGGACCCTTCAAAAATCACTCAATTTCAGGCCTCATTTCTGCAAATATTCATGAAGCATGAGCTGTTTTTCTAAATAAGTCATTAGAAAATCCAATTCTTAGGTAACATATTCAGAGAAAGAGTGAAATTGTGTCAGTGTAGAATCATCCATTCAGAATCGTGCTCTTGGTAATCCTGATGTGATTGTATCACCGAGCAAAGGGGCTGCTGTCCCTTGAAGCCATTTTTATAGGATCATTACACCAATAGCACCATATCAGTTGGTGGGATTTATCTCAATCTTCCTTAAGAGATGTGAGACACCAACACACACACACACACACACACACACACACACACACACACACACACACACACACACACACACACACACACACACACACACAAAATTCAATACTGTCCAAAACCACTGATTCTCCATTGCATTTTGAATGTTTTCACAAACACACCTTTCACTATGGTGAACTGATACAGTGGTAGCACTTGTTGATTTGGCATTGTACAGTCATTTTCCTCCAGTGAGGGTCCTAGGACTCTGCATAACGAGTTGAAGCCAGCCTCGTTGCTGTCACGTGATAGGGGCATACTCCATGGCTCCCCTTTCAATCTCTTGGGGATCAAGTAGCATGGACTCAGATGATGATCATGAATAAATGATGGGATTTGGAGTCCTATACTACAAGCTTACTTTCAGAAAAATGTATTACAGATCAAATGCATAGTGTAAGTTTGTCAGGAACATTTCTAAATTATCCTATAAGTTATGTTGACATGCAATCATTAAACATTTTCCCCAGTAGGATAAAAGAATAACCCCTACAGATCTCCCCCCAAAAGTGTTTTAACTCCCGAGGGACATGTGTATCATCTTTGAATTTCTGGAGTTATCTAGCGAACTTAGTTGTAATGCTCAGGATTACTCATTAATCATCTCTTTCTTTTTCTTACCTGGCCAATTGGTCAGGATTCTCTAGAGGAACAGAAAGTATACCACTTTATACTCTCTCCATCTTTCTATGTATGTATATAAACAAAGCAGAATATAAAATAGAGATAAATATTTGGATATTTCTCAAAATGTTTGCCCATCTACTCAGGGATATATATTTTCCGGTTAAATTTTATTTATATAATATTTTTCCCTTATTTTAATATATCAACCAGTTTCCATCCCTGCTTCTTCCATACCCTCACATGATCCATCTTCCCTTTCTCCACCTAAAATAAATCCCTAATTGACATCACTTAGAAAAGTGTAGGTAAAAATACAGGATTACCAGCTCTGCCATATCACTAGCAACACATGCAGAGAGCACAGGTCTCAATTAAGATCCTAAATTCTTCATCTGGTCTCATAGCAGGTGCTGGAATTCTAACTAGTAATAACAATAAACCCAAATTCAGTGAAAAATATTTGTAGCCTCTTAGCAAGAAAGAGTAAATCATGCACACATAGTAACTCACACACTTGCCAGAACACAGGAGGAAGAGTCAGTGTGATCTCTGAGTTCCAAGACTGCCAACATTTGTAATGAGACCCTGTCTCTCTCAAACCAGAAAAATGGAAAGTTTAGGGAAACTCCCTAGGCAAAATAATACATCTTAAACAATTTGGCAGAGTTTCAAATTCTCAATGTTTATTTTTTTTATCAACTACAAACAACATTTCCTAAACAGTTGTTGTCACTGATGTTAAGACTGGGAAACAACACAATTTTATTCGGGAAGCTATAGTGTGTGGACAGTCAGTTTCGTGCGCTAGGTCCAGCTTGAGTACAGATCCTCTGGTGCTGTTTGAGGTAACTCAATCTGGAAAAATTCTTGTTGCACTTGGCACAAGGGTACTGTCGCATCCCACTATGTTTGCTTTGGTGTCTTCGGAGATCTTCAGAGCGGAAAAATCTCCACTGACAGCCAGGCTGATTGCACACAAAGGGCTTCTCTCCACGGTGTTTCTTGAGATGGTCTTTAAGGTGATATGACCTTGTGTAAGATTTCTCACAATCTTGGTAGGGACAGAAGAACTTCTTTTGGGCCACACTGTGGTGGGCCTCCATGTCCGACTTCTGTCTAGGAGGCTGTGCCTGGTCTGAAGTGGACACTGAAAAGCTCTGCAGAGCGTGACTTTGGCTCACAAAGGAACCCGAAGAGTCCATGGAAACGTCCTCATATGGGGTTTGGTTACCAAATGAAGTCCTCTGCGAACTGTGGCTTCCTTCAACATTGGGTGATGGCTTCTGACTTGAGCAGACATTCTCATCTACATAGGCTGTCTGGATTGGACCCATGTAGGGCGGGACTTCAACCCTGGCAGTTGTTTCCTGATATTGGGACAGGTTGTCCTCTGCATTGAATGTTGTCTGCATGCTCCTTAGTTGAGGCATGTAAAATCTAGGAGTCTGCATCTCACTGTCATAGAGAGGCTGGCTAGCTGCTGGAATAGTCATCTGAGGAGCCATACAGGGATACTGGATGCCTCTGTAAGCTGATGTCTCATACCAACTGGGGTAATGCTCAACACTCTGGATACTTCCCTGACTGTTACTGCTGTACAGACTCATCTGTCCATAGTGGCTCATCTGGTCTTCATGGTTTGTCCCCTGGTGACCATTAAAAGGCTGATATCCCTCAGGAGTCATCATCAGATCTCTATTTGGTATCATGTTTTCAGCAGGCTGAGGAAAGCAGGGTCCTGGTTGGAAAACACTTGGGGTTATGTCCTGTTCCTCATAGGCTTCAAGTAATTCCTCGAAGAAGTCTGCATTTGCTTGGCCAAGATCCTGTGTTGCTTGTGGAAGTTCCTCAGATGCTTGTGGAAACATGAACATCTTGCTGAAATAGATTTCAGTCTTGAGAGCTAAATGTCCTTGTGGGTATTCAAATACAAGGACTAGACTTCTGCTTGAAGTTTGCCCAAACCAACTGAAAATATCAGCTGGAGGGTAGGGCCCCACAAATTCAAGGGCTTATGACTGTGGAATGGGACAAATGAACTCAGGTCCTGAGCTCTCCAGTCTCCTTTGATAAAGCTTGGCCAGAAGTGGGCAGGTCTTCAGAGACTAGGGTTATGTATGCCTTGCCCTTGAAGGGGTAAGGCCCCACAACTAGAGTTCTTGCTTCAGCTCCTTTACCCAGGCTCTTAGAATTCAGAGTGTGTCCTCTTGACCCAAACTCTCAGGGTGCTTTGCTTGCAGTTTGTTTGTCCTTTATTTGGTGTCTGTTTTCCTCTGGAAAGCATACATGCAATTCCTGTCAAAGAAGACATGTAACATGTAACATGAACTGAGAAATGAGCCAGAGACTAATATCAGGCTTCAAATGTTGAGCTGCATGTCAGAAAAGCCAAGTGGCCGGACAATATCTCTTACCTGTAAGTTCAGGATACAAGATATGAATCAAGCAGAAGCTCTCACAAAGTCTCAAACTGCTTCCTCTTCTCAGAGTGCTTGGAGAGCGTATGCTTTGCTGAGACCTACCTTCTGTCTTATATACTTCCTGGATGATGGGATTAAGGGTGGGACGTATGCTGATCCTGTAGACTGATTGACTCTTGTGTACATCCGGTCGGTCTTGAACACAAAGATGTCTCTACCTGTAAATCCCGCTTCCTAGGTTTAAAGGTGTTTTCCAACTCCTCCATGATGCTAGTAGCTTGGACAGTGGTTTGTGACTGGCTGCTAAGGCTTGTAGCTGACTTTGCTTTTTGTGAATCCTCAGTCAAGCTTTAAAAACCATAAATAATGTATCACTACCTTTGACCCAAATTAACTCTGGACATTCCAATTTCAAAAATCTAGTTCAAAATGAGTCTTAGCAGCTCAAAGTTACAGATGTGTAGTAAATCTCCCCATATCAGGAAAAATAAATATCCAGAGACAAATAGTGTAGCTCAAGCTTGAAACTGAAGATCAGAGAACCAAAGCAGGCAAGACAGTAGATCTTTCCTCTACGCAGCTAAAACGATAATACTAAATTCCTAAATGTTCAGTGGTAAAGGCTCTCGCTTCCTGTGTCCTCCTACCATTTGCTCCTTTCTCCAAAGGGCCAAGTAACGCCTGTCTCCAACTCAGTAGTTCTGGGATTAAGGGTTTCTGAGGCCAGATGCTTTGATCGCCTTTGTCTAAGCTGTTTCTTTTAGGACTGGATCAATTACTTGTAGTCACTGTGGACTTGAACTAATGGAGATCTGTCTACCTCTCAATTTTGAGACCTGGATTGATTTTTGACAAAGAAGGTAAAACTGTACAGTGGAAAAAAGAAAGCATCTTCAACAAATGGTGCTGGTATAACTGGGTAGTGGTATGCAGAAGGCTGCAGATAGATCCATGTTTATCGCCTTGTACAAAACTTAAGTCCAAATGGATCAAAGATCTCAACATACATCCAGCCACACTGAAAGTTTTAGAAGAGAAAGTGGGAGATACTCTTCAACGAGTTGGTACAGGAGACCACTTCCTAAACATAACACCAGTGGCACAGGCACTGAGATCGACAATTAACAAATGGGACCTTCTGAAACTAAAAAGCTTCTGTAAGGCAAAGGACACAATCAAAAAGACAAAAAGGCAGGCCACAGAATGGGAAAAGATATTCACTAACCCTACATCTGACAGAGGGCTAATCTCCAAAATTTACTAAGAACTCAAGAAACAAGTCTCCAAAACACCAAAGGATCCACTTGAAAGGTGGGGTACAGAGCTAAATAGAGAATTCTCAGTAGAGGAGGCTAAAATGGCCATGAGACACTTAAGAAAGTGCTCAACATCCTTAGCCATCCGGGTAATGCAAATCAAAACAACTCTGAGATACCATCTTACTCCTGTCAGAATGGCTAGAATCAAAAACACCGAAGACAATTTATGCTGGAGGGGATGTGGAGAAAGAGGAACACTCCTCCACTGCTGGTGGGAATGCCAACTCATACAGCCTCTTTGGAAATCAGTATGGAGATTCCTCAGGAAAATGGGAATTAATTTACCACTAGACCCAGCAATTCCACTCTTAGGCATTTATCAAAATGAGGCAGGTTCATACATCAAGGGCATCTGCTCCACTATGTTCATAGTAGCATTGTTTGTAAGCCAGAATCTGGAAGCAACCTAGATGCCCCTCAACTGAAGAGTGGATAGAGAAAATGTGGTACATTTACACAATGGATTATTACTCAGCAGAAAAAAACAATGGAATCTTGAAATTCGCAGGGAAATGGATAGCACTGGAAGAAACCATCCTGAGTGAGGTAACCCAGTTGCAAAAAGACAAACATGGTATGTACTCATTCATATATGGATTTTAGATATGGATCAGGATAGTGCCAGTCTGCACTTCCACAGATAGAGAGTCTGGGAAACAGGAAAGAACCTAAAAGATATGCATATATGCATAGTACCCAAGAGAAGAGGATGGAGACAAGATCCTCTGAATGGATGGGGAACAGGGCGAGGGGGGGTAGTGGGACCTGGGAAGAATACAGGGGGTAAAGAGGAAGAGAGTTGGTCATGGGGGAACAGGAAGTTGAGGGGTTGGGGGTAGAATAGGGGGAAGAGGGAATCATAGGATCGAAGACAGATCAGGCACCAGAGTGACCTCGAGTGATCTAAAGGTATAACATCAATTGGCAAGCTAAGCAATAGTGGAAGGACCACCTCGAATGCCCATTCCTGATAATGAACTTGATGTCTATAACTATCCGGGAGCCTTCATCCTGGGACTGATGGAAGCAGAGGCAAACACACAACTAAGCACTGAACTGAACCCAAGGAACCCAGTGACAGAGAGAGAGGAATGATGAGCAAATTGGCAAAGAATGGGCTGGCAAAACCAGCAGAGACAGCTGATCTGAACAGGGGAGTGCTCTTGGAACCCAGACCGACAGTGGGGAGGCCAGAATGGGACTGATCTGGATCCCCCAAATGTGAGTGTCAGTGAGAAGGCCTGGACAACCTATGGGGCTCTGAGCTGTGGATTAGTGTCTATCCCTGGTATACAATCTGTCTTCATGTGCCTATAGCACAAAGAGAGATGCTCTCTCAGCCTGGACTCTTAGGGGAGTGCCTTGACCCTACCAAGAGTAAAATGATAGACTCTAGACATCCCCTATGTGGAAGGATTTGGCAATAGGGTGGGAGAGAGGGTGGAAGGGGAGTGCGGGAGGAGGGGAGGGAGAGGGAACTGGGATTGACATGTAAAACAAGCTATTTAAAATTAAAAAAAAGTGTGTACTATCATTGTTTAGATTCTATAACTAACTGGTGTTGTTGGCTTTGTATCCTTAATCCTCAGGAAAGCTTTGATACCTCCTAAGTAGCATATCACCACACTTGCCAATTTAGTTAATTTAATTAAGCCCAATTCCCTCCAGGTGATCCTAGCACTAGGGAGATTTTAGGAATAGTCTTTTTAAAGATTAAAATGACACCAGATGTACATAATTTGCAAAATGTGGCACAAGTCATACCTCCTTGTATCATCTTTTCTTTCCACGGGAGAAAACTTACACATCACATACATGTCTAAACATGATAGACTCTTCCTCTTATGGCCACAAAGGCATTATCCATTGCGAAGAGCTGACCATGTCACCTGAAATACATTGTTTTAGCATCTCAAAATTGTATATGATAACCATTGAAAAACACTAATTGCCATCACTTAGAGAAATGAAGTTAAGGAAACATCAGTACTTGTTCAATGACATTCCGAACAAAGACAAGTTTTGTTCCCAAGTCTTGAAAATTCCCAAAGATCACAAGGGAGAGAGACCCTCAGAATTACAAAAGCAAGGTTTTATTATTTTATCCACCCATGACATGGATCCCATCCAGTGGGAGTGAAGTTACTGGCCAACTAACAGCTAGGTTGTAAAGACAAATCTCCAAGGTTTCATCAATAGTTAGGGGATGCTTTCTGTTTGGCCGACATTTGGGAACAATTAGGAGAATTTGTCAAAGTCATGATTTTGCAGGAACTTCCGGTGTACACATTCTGTTCACTGGTCCGATCTGAACGGGAACATTCTGTGATTCCTGTGGCTTTGTCTTTTTACTTTCACTTGGCCACTTGTCCATAGATAACTGTACTTTACAGAACTATATCCTGGAGACGACAGGGGAAGTTTTGTTCTACACTGGATTTTCCTTTTGGCCAATCTGTTGCCAGGAACCAAGTATCTTGGAGGTTAGGGGGAGTCTGGATTTTGTGTTCAGGTTTGGCCCCAGGTTACGGGAGGTCAGACAATATGGAGTTACCTTGTGTTAGTGGTCCACATGTCTTTCCTGTAGTCTATCATGGCTGCCAAACTTGGAATTGAGTGAGGGTGTGGACCCTTCACAAATCACTCAATTTCAGGCCTCATTTCTGCAAATGTTCATGAAGCATGAGCTGTTTTTCTAAATAAGTCATTAGAAAATCCAATTCTTAGGTAACATATTCAGAGAAATAGTGAAATTGTGTCAGTGTAGAATCGTCCATTAAGAATCGTGCTCTTGGTAATCCTGATGTGATTGTATCACCGAGCAAAGGGGCTGCTGTCCCTTGAAGCCATTTTTATAGGATCATTATGTGAGGAGCCGCCCTCGCTATCGCTATTGCCGTTAGAAGATGGCGCTGACATCTGCTGTCAGTTGGAGTTAACCATTTAAGCTGTGCCTCTCCCGTGGCGTCATCTGGGGTGATGTGCAAACCACCAATCCCAGCTCTACACGTCTCACTCGGAGCTCCTAGGCTTATATAAGGGGCTGGGTTTCTTAGCTTGGGGTCTCCCTCTAAGAATCTGATCATCTATCTCTCAAGATGCATTAAAGCTTTACTGCAGAAGGATCCGAGTGTTCTGCGTCATTCTTGCTGGCGAGACGGTAGCGCGGGACATCTGGTGCCGAAACCCGGGAACTCTTCAACATCGCTGGCGCCGCGGGAGACCCCTCGGAAGACGGGGCGGATTCAGAACTGCAGGGACGTAAGTTCAGAGAGGTATGCTTTATCCTGAACACCCCTTTCTCGACTTTGGCCTTAGTTTGTCATCACCGTGGGACGGGTCAGTGGAGGCTTTGGTGCTAGTCCTGTTTGTCCTTCTCCTTCATCGTGGCTGGTGCTGACAGAACGGTGCTGTCAGTCTGGTGCTGTCAGTCTGGTGCTGTCAGTCTGGTGCTGTCAGTCTGGTAACGGAGTTGAGCGCCGTTTTTTAGATAAGCCGCTAGCGCGATGGGGTTGTCACAGTCAGTGGTTACTGCCCTACAGACTGTGCTAAAACAAAGAGATCTTAAAATTGCACCACGAACACTTCAAAATTTTGTGAAGGAGGTAGATAGAGTGGCACCATGGTATGCTTGTTCCGGGTCCCTCACTGTGGCCTCATGGAACAAGCTAGGTAAAGAACTAGACAGGAAGCATGCAGAAGGAGATCTCCACTTAGGTACCAAAGCCATTTGGAAGCTAGTTAAAAACTGCTTGGAGGATGAGGCCTGTCACCCTGCTATAATAGAAAGTCAGGGAACCTTAGAGGAAGTTCAGGATAGCATGTCAGAAACTGAACGGAGTGAGAGAATGGGAGCTCGCAAAAGGAAAGACATGTCTAAGAAAAAAGGCCCTCCCCAAGAAGTTAAGAAAGGGGAGAGAGAGAAGGGAGTGATCATTCACCCCCTAACAAGTCTAAGAAAAAGAAAAAGCCAGAATCTAGTCTATACCCTACAGTAGAGCTAGAAGCCTTGGAGCTAGATAATTCTGATTCTGACACTCTGTATTCTAGCGAAGAAGGTGGTCTAGAGGAGGAGGTGGCACGGTATGAGGAAGAAAGATATCACCCTGAAAGACACCGGCCACTGAAAACAAAAATGAATGTGAGGCCACCGCCTATAAATCCGGCGGGCTCACGCCCCTCAGCGCCTCCGCAGTATGAGCTTCGGCTGAATACTGGTACTGACTCCTTTTTACCTTTAGAGGAACGGAGAAAAATACAAGTAGCTTTTCCAGTATTCGAGAATGTGGAAGGCGGAAGAGTACATACCCCTGTAGATTACAATCAAATCAAAGAATTGGCCGAATCCGTTCGTAATTATGGGGTCAATGCTAACTTTACCACATTACAGGTGGAAAGGCTTGCTAATTTTGCCATGACTCCCACTGACTGGCAGACGACAGTGAAAGCAGTGCTTCCCAACATGGGACAATACATGGAA